ATTCATTTACATTCAAAATTTGTTATTGAGATGCAATGACTTATTCTTGCCATCTTGTTAATTTTCTTTTGGTTGTTTTGAATATCCTGTTCTTCTCTTGATGTTTATCTTTGTGATCCAGTAGTTTTTTATATTAGTAACTTTTTTCCTTTTTATTGATAACATCTTTCTAATTCTCTTGTGTATATGCTTTTCTAGTGAGTTTTATACTTTCATATGTTTTTATTTTGGTAGTTTCTAGATGCAGTATCTCTTAAGCATCTTTTGCACAGCTAATCTGGTGGCAATGAATTCCTTCAGTTTTTGCTTGTCTTGGAAAGTATTTCTCCTTCATTTCTGAAAGATAGCTTTCCTGGGTATGTATTCTTGGTTGATAGTTTTTCTTTCAGAACTCTGAATATATTATCCCATTTTCTCATGGCCTGTAATTAGATTAGTCCCTCAGCACTCGTGACTTGGTGTTTTTCACTTGCTGTTTATAAAATTTATGGACTTTTGACCATTTGACTATTATGCCAGAGTCAAGATCTTTCTTTCTTTTGTTCTTTCCTTTCCTTCTTTCTTGCTTTTCTTTTCCTTTCTCTCACCTCTCTCTCTCCCCTCCCTCTCTCCTCCTCTCTCTCTCTCTCCTTTCTTTTACCAGGGATTGAACTGGACCTTGCACTTAGGAGGCAGGTGTGAGGGTACTGAGCTAAACCCCCAGCCCAAGATTGTTCTTTTTTTAATCAAACCTACCTGGGATTCTTCAGGTTTGCTTTACTTGGATGTCCATATCCAAGACTTGGGAAGTTTTCAGGCAATTATTTTATTTAATAGCTTTTCTATGGCCTTTCACTTCTCCTCAGCTTCTAGAATCTTCATAATTTGAGTATTTGTTCACTTAACTGTGTCCCTTGAGTCTTGGAGTAATAACCTTTAGGTAGCACTCTTGATATGTGGTCCTGGCCTCTTGGTACTCCTGAACCCCTGCTTATTCTGTACATTTTTTTAACCCAGGGTTTTTACACTGAGTTACATTCTCAGCCCCCCACCCCCTTTTTGAGATAGGGCCTGCCTAAATTGTTAAATTGCCTAGGCTGAGCTTGAACTTGTGATCATCCTGCCTCAGACTTCTAGAGTACTGGGATTCAGGCCTGTGCCACCACTCCCATCTTTTTCTGTACACCTTTGAGTCTACTCTCCAAAAAACCAGTGAAGCTGCAACTTCACCTTCTTCAGCTGAGTCTGAGTTCTTTAGTTAGAGCTGCCCTTCTGTTTGTCTTTCTTGGATATTCTCTGCTGTAGTACAAATGTTTGTGTACTCTACAAATTTATATTTTGAAATCCTAAGTCCCAATTTGATAGTATTAGGTGACACCTTTGGGAAGCAATTAGGTCATGAGGGCACAACCCTTGGAATTGAGACAAGTGCCCTCACAAATAAGCCCTGGGAGAGCCCTCTTGCCTCTCTACCACTTGAAGACAACAGCAAGAAGACAGCATCAATGAACAAAGGTGGACACTCACAAGACAGTGAATCTGCATAAAATGAACTAGTTTATAAGCCATCTAGTCTATGGTATTTTTGTTATTGCAGCATAAACAAAGTAGGATACTCTGTCTCACCCATGTGGACTTTTCTTAGATCTTTACTCTTATTGTGACATAATAATTCTTTATGTTAAATTTTCCTGCTTATTTCACAGTGTGGCTGTGATTGGGAACAAGAGATACATGAGACAGAGAGAGAGACAGAGAGAGAGAGAGGAGAAAGATAAATATTCTCTCTATATATCCTCTATATAATCTTTTGAAACAAAGGAAGATAATTGAGCAATAATAATGTGGATATTTGTGGTCAATAGATTGATTTTAATGATAGATATCAGAGTTAAAACTGAATGTGAATATTCAGTAGGAAAGGAGAAATTTATAATGAAGGCACAAGGAACATAATAGCAGGAGAGAAGTCGGTGAAAGAAGATAGTCACAAGAAGGAAGGAAAAGACTGGCCATGAAAAGAGGATTTCATTTTCAAGAGGGACCAAACAGAAAATAAGATTTATGGAAACATGCAGATTTACTATAGTATATGATCTCCTTTTCTATAAGACTATTCTTCTTAAAGAAATAGCAAGAAGAGTCATCCACTGAGAATGATAGAGTGGAGGTCATTTATAGGTGCAGGGACGGAGGACAAACTACAAAATATCTCAGAAAATGGGAGTAAGATGAACTAGGGAACTATATTAAGACTGAAAGATTGTGTTAAAAGCCCTCTTAGATTTATGCATTATTTCGAAAGTGACAAGAAGGAGTTAAATATTTCTCCAAGTATTTTCAGCTGTTCATGTCAAAGAAAGCAGATATTCAGGTTTAAATGTCTTACATTTTCCCTAGAGAATCTGCCTGGTGTCATTTACAATGAAAGCCATAGGAAACAGTAGATTGGGAGTTACTCAATTTAACTGAAAGCTTAGATGTTGCCGTTCAGTGTAGACTGTTGAAAGTCTGCTTATGCTTTTCCTATGTGAAGTCCTCTTGATTTAGGCTTAATCTCCAGATAGTTAAGTGCCATGTTTAGTTCTCTTCCTTATAATGCCATCGTGTATCTCTATGCTTTGCAACATCTCTACCACATCCCCCATTACATTCTTGGACTCTGCCTTGCTCATTTCAGTGAAATAGTTATTGTTTTTTCTTTGTTTTGGTCCTTTGTTGTGGAGGAAAGCATGCCAAGCATTCAAGCCTTCCATCTTGCTGATATGACTCCCAGATTTGTTATTTTTTGGTACAGGGGATTGAACCCAGGACCTTATGGATGCTAAGCATGTTTATATTTTCATATAACTTCAGAACCTCAATTTTAGAGTACTGAAATTCAAATTCAATAAAACCTTAACTGTCCTCAGTTGGAGACATAATTACACAGAAGTTACTGTAAACTACATTAGATTGTACATATGAGGCTGCATATATTCTGAAGACAAAAATAATTTTACATTTTTACATCACATAATTGATGGTACTAATAGTACTGTTATTCTGAAACATCTGTGTATGTATGTGTGTGATGGAAAAATTAAGTATTTTGTTTATATCAATAGGAACTGAAATTTTGGTATGGGAGAAAAGAAGACTGAAGAAGTTTAATTAAAAACATTATTAACTTGAACTCATTTTTTCTTTTGGTGGGTGAGGGGTTCTGGTAGTGAGGACTGAATCTAATGCCTTCACACTGAGCTACATCCCAGCCCCTTAAGGGGTGGTCTTGCTCTAAGTCACTAAGTTGCTCAGATTCATATTTGTGATCTCCCTGCCTCAACTCCCCAGAATGCTGGGACCACAGGTGTGTGCAACCACACTTAGCTTATATACATGAATCTGAAATATGAACTTAAATATAAACAAATATCTTAAATGTATGTATCTAAAATTTGTGCTCTGGGAAAAAAGTCTTTAGGAAGAAAATTACCAATCTACTATCTACGTACACTTAGCCTCAAAACTGGTTTCTACACAAACTTTCTGTTATAAGGAACTAAGGGTCTTTGGAGAAATACTTGCACATCATGAGGCAGAAAAATTCTGCTGTAACAAAAATAATCTATCTAAAATTATGTGTATCATGTTCATAAGACAGACATCAATAGATAATGTTTCCATATAAGATCAGGAGACCACTCACTACTTCTATTCACATGTCATGGACAGTACAAAAAAGGAAGACAAATTACAAAGTAAATATTGGGACAGAAGAACTAAATCTATCATTCACACAGGATAGCACTCTGAAAAACATCTGAAAGCCTCTACAATAAACTATAGAACTGATTTAGTAATACCACTATCAGATGAATATAAAAATTAATTACATGTCTATATATTAGCAACAGAGAAATACACAAAATACCATTTAAAATATCAGAAACAGTAACTATGAGAAAAATACTGAAAGATGTTTTTAAAAAGGTTCCTACCAACTAAAAGGACAATTTAATTATCAATATGAATACTATTTGTAATGAATAGAAATACTACTAGTATGTTTAAATTAATACTAACTTAGTCCACTTATTGGTTTAGCATAGTTCTGGGTGTGGATAATGGAAAAGTTCACCCTGGGTGTGGGTGGCATCCCCCCAAAAGGCTTATAGCCTGGATGAGATAAAAGGGAAGGGGAGGCTTGCTTCACTGCTTCCTGCCTGCTCTGCTGTGGACTGTTTCTCCTCAGCCATGTCCATGTGCCAGGCCACTCTACCTTAGAGCCAATCGACTATGGACTGAAACCTCTACAAACTGTGAAGCAAAATAAACCTTTCCTCCTTTAAATTGTGGGTGTTGGGTATTTTGTCCCAGAAATGAGAAAGTAACTAAGACAAGCCCCTCTTCTAAAGATAGAATGAAAATCACTAATACAAACTTCATCCTTCAAAGATAAAGAACTGAGATAAGATAGTTTTTAAATAATTTACAAGTTATAGTCAATGTTGAGTTTCACATCCAACTCTTGATCCTGCCACTAAATGACTGCCTTCTTTCTAGTAGGTGCCATCTCCTTTATCCTTTACTTTCTTGGTACTTCTGCCAAGTTAGAAGCTTTCTGCTCTTTAAACCAAAACATCAGATACAACTGAGTGCATATGGCTAAGCACCTTCTGTGAATACATGTTGAGTAAGTGGTATTTACCAGATTCTGTCTGTAAAACAGTTGAGTATATTTGTTTTATATTCCCTTCAAAATTATAAATTTCTTTAAAAAACCCATTATGTTTGTTAAGAAATTGTATTTTACTAATTTCCATGGTAGTGCCTAACTTAAGACCTTAGAAAATATCTTGTATTTTAAAAGGCAAATTTACTATTAAGGAATAGTAAAACAATAATAAAAACTGGAAATCTGCCACAAAAGGAAATTAGCTAATAAAAAGATTAAAAAGTATTTAACAAGAAAATACTAGTTGGATAAATAAGCAATAAACATATTAGAGACTGAAATGAAATTTATTAATATAGTTGTGTTGATCCTTATGATACTGCCCATATTTTATCCTTTTAAATTTACAAAATGTGGCAACTTCACATGGTTCATCCTAATATTTTAAGTACTATATAGAGTCTAGACCACTAAAAGACATAAATTTGTCTTTCCAGAAAAACTTCGCCGTTCATTAACTAAACTCTACTACTGTATACTTTTAGAATAGACAGCAAAGCAAGGTACACCAATTTTATCAGGTTACAATAGTTTATATTGGATAGGGTGAAACTCATAAATTTAGTAAAGATGCAAGCTAAGAGGGCAAACCCTGGAAACCAGTAAGGTTTAATATATCTCTTGACAGAATGGCAAGGAATATGGTAAAGAAGCTAAAGTATGGGATAAACTCATAATTTAATTAATGATATATGTCTTAACTGAAGAGTAAACTTTCCTTTTTAGGTTACTGCTGAATAAACAAATATCAATACTAAGCTAAATTTTTATTTACCTATAAATTAGAAAACCCCATTAATCTAAATTATGAAGAATTAAGTAGCATTTAGTACAAGTAGATCATATAGGATTGATGAAAGTGGGCAATCTTATTTAAAACATATATGAATTCCTTCTATTAATTATATCAAATGACTTCTTACCTAATATGGTTTTAACGTTTTTCTGTATTTGTATGTACAGTTTGCATTCATGAACTTGATTTGAGAATCTTTCAGCTACTATATTACTATTATATAGCATAGTGAGTGGAACAAACTAAGCATTTAAATGCCTGTTGAATAAATGAATACAAATTATTTTTATTCCTGGTTTCTATGTTTAATTAAAAGAAAATTTAAATGATATCAGAAACAATGTTGACTGTTACAGCCATGTGTACTACAAGATTTCAAAGCAAAATCTTGACAAAATAAATTCTCTTTAAACTGCAAAAGAGTAATGAATTTATGTCTGTGTAAAAATAAATAAAAATGTGTACACACTGAATCAGGTAATTCTTTTTCAAAAACAAATGAAAAATGTTTAAAAATCCCTAACGTTTCAATGTAAGTTGACATGAAGATGTACTAATTTTTAGCAATATTCAGACAATGCTGGTACCAGACTCTGATTTTGAAAGTTGAAAACTTCCAATATTTTAAAAACATTTTTACCAGTCAAAATACACAAAAAAATAAAAGATGTTCAATATGACAAGGAATTGTCTAATTCACATATAAAATTGCTCTATATCAGGAGATTTCACAATCCAGGAGCCATAGCCATGTTGCTGTAAGTCGGATTTCAATAAAGTTTTAGCTTCTTGATAGGAGCCAGACATATGCTAGAGAGGAAAAAAAATCAAATCATATAAAATCAGTAGAATTTGACCTCTAAATAGTAAGTAGCCCTAATATTGTTTATTTAACCTTACATTTTAAAAATTAATGAAAAAATTTTGGATTTCCTACTTTTTTAATATTTAAAGCTAAAAAATTTTCTTCCCAACACTCTAAAAGGCAATTTTGCTTATTTAACATTTTTAGCCAAAAGAGCAAACATATAATTCATTACCAAAAAAATGTGAAAAATAAAAAAAAATAAAAAGTACCTATAATCCCAAAACCTAGGTAGCCATCATTAATATTGTTTCATGTTCATAAATTGACATAGATTTTATAAAATAACATATAACTTCTTAAGGTAGCTTTTCTGATGTATAATTAACATACCACAAAATTCACCCAATGTAAGTCTATAGTTTGTAAAACAAATCCATTACTTCTAACAAGTTCCATTATACCCACCTGCAGTCAACCTGTTTTCATGTCCTTGAACCTAGCTCCAACTACAAATCTACTTTCTCTCTCTAGTTTTAAAGTTTCAGATAAACCGATTAATACAATACATACTCTATTGTGTCAGGCTTTTTTCAGTTAGTATATAAAGTATGATAGAAAATATGATGATTATTTAAATAGAAATAACATTTATTATAGTAAAAGACACACTGTCATTAAGCTTTGAACACACATCTCACTGTCCTTGGCACATTCTGAAGCGGTTCTGGAAGCCTTCTTCTGGGTCTTTTGTGGCTGCTCAATGTTCTGAACTGATTCATAATGTTTATGACAATTTCTGGTGAATAAAATATCATAGTGTATCCTCATCCACTTCATCCACCAGATCTGGCACCTTACAACTTCTAGTTCTTCCTTCACCAAAGTCAAAATAACCATGAAAAGTAAAACTTTAAACTGATTTAGGACATTCGGGTAGCCACAACAGTGCAACTAAAGGTAGTTATGAAAGAGCAATTCCAGAGCTACTTCAGAAAGTGGCAAGAACAATAAAATAAATGTGTTTTGAAGTGAATGGGTACCTAGGGGCGGGTAATGGTAATGTATCTTTTACTGCAATAGTGTTTTAAAAACCTCCACAAATGTTTTCCAACTTATTCATGTTGCTTTACGGATCAGTAGTTTGTTCCCTTTTATTATTGATTAATATTTCGTTTATGGGTATATATCACAGCTTGTTCAAGGATTTATCAGGTTATGAACATATACATATATTTCCAGTTTTTGACTTATGATAATGATGCCACAAACATTCATATATGAGTCTGTGTGTGCACATAAGTTTTTGTTTTTCCCAAATCCCAGTGGTATTGTTAGATCACATGCTATTTCTGTTTACCTTTGTAAATAAACACATCAAATTGTTTTCCACTGGAAATATAACAGGGATTCAGTTTCTTTATAACCTCAATAATACCTGGTATGGTCAGCCCTTAGGATTTCAGTAGGTATATTGCCATCTCATTGTGGTTTAATTTCTCATCTTCCTAAACACTAATAAGACTGGGCATCTTTAATGTGTTCATTGGACAGTTGTACATATTCTTTGCCTCTTCTAAAAATTTGTTTCCTTGTCCTATTACTGAGATTTTAAGGTCTACATATTCTGGATCCAAGTCCTTTGTCAGATATGTGGTTTGCAAGAATCTTCTCCTAGTCTGTAGTCTGTATTTTCATTTTGTTAATGATGACTTTTGAAAAGCAAGTTTTAAATTTTAGTGCCAAATGGTCAGTTTCTTTCCTTTATAGATTATGCTTTTGATTTCACATCTAAGAAATCTTTCCTTAAAAATGTAAATATTTTCTAACAATTTATTTGGAAATTTTATTTCTTATAGTTAAATCTAAGATCCATTTAAATTTAATCTTTGGGTGTGATCGACACAAGGATCTAAGTTTGTTTTTTCGTTATTCTTGCTGTATTTACCCATGAATATGACTGATATGTAGGTCTAGTTTGAGTTTGTCCCCCAAAGGCTCATGTACTGGAATCTTCATTGTCAGTGTGGAAATGTTAAATAGTAGAATCTTTACGAAGTGGAGCCTGTTGAGAAGGCACTGCTTGCAGAAAGAGCTTATATCACTCTCATGGAACTCTGGTTAGTTCTCAGGAGAAGGCTGCCATGAAAAATAAAGCTTGGTTTCCTGTCTTGCCATTTGATATTTGTCTCTGTTTCTGTCTCCTTTCTCAAATGCACTCTGTCTGGTGTGATACAGCTAATGGAGCCCTCATCAGAGCCAGCATTATGCTGTTTTGAAATTTCAGCTTTCAAAATGTGAGCTCAATAAACCTCTATAAAATACTGAGCCTCAGTTATTCTTACAGTAAGGGAAAATGGTCTAATATAGCAGTTTTAGTACTGTTTGTTGAGAAGGGTATTCTTTTTTCCATGAATTTATGTTGACACCTTTGTATAAAATCAATTGACCATGTGTTTGTGGCCGTATTTTCATTCTATTGATCTATACATTTATCATTATATCAATACATTGTCTTACTGTTGCTTTATCCAGCCATAGCTCATTTTATTGTGCTATAATTTATTGAGCTTCCCAGATATTATATTTTTTTACAAATCACAGGTCTGCAGTAGTCCTGTATCAAGCAAGTCTGTTGACACATTTTTCCAACAGCATGTGCTCACTTCATGTCCCTGTACCACATTTGTTAATTCTTACAATAGTTTAAACTTTTTCATTATATCTGTTAATACTGATCTATACTCTTTGGTATTACTATTGTAGCTGTTTTGAGGCACTAAAACTATACAATAAAAGATTGTGAATTTAATTGATAAATGCTGTGTGTTTTGACTGTTCTACTGACTGGCTATTCTCACATCTTTCTCCTTTTCCTTGGGCCTCGCTATTCCCTGAGACACAACAATACTGAAATCAGGCCAATACATAACCCTATGACTGCCTCTAAGTCTTCAAGTGAAAGGAAGAGTCATACATCTCTCATGAAGTCAACAGCTAGAAATAATTAAGCTTAGCGAGGAAAACATGAAAAGCTCAGATAGGCCTGACAGTCATGTTGTATATGCAAAATAAAAGTCCTTGAAGAACTGCTCCAGTGAACACATGAATGAAAAGGAAAACAAAACAATCTTACTGCTGGAGTAGAGAAAATTTTAGTAGTATGGATGAAAACTCAAACCAGTCACACCATTTCCTTAAACCAAGCTTACTCCAGAGCAAGGCCCTAACTCTATGAAGGGTGAAAACCTTTACTCTTTAGAGAAATGAGGAAGCTACAGCAGAAAAGCTTGAAACTAGAAGTTGGTTCATGAAATTTACTCTATAACACTGAAGTACAAGGTGAAGTACCATGTACAGGTATAGAAGCTGCAACAAATTATCCAGAAAATCTAGCTAGGATAATTGGTCAATGTGACTACACTAAGCAACAGACTGCCAATATAAATGAAATCATCTTATACTGTAAGAAGATGCCATCTAGAACTGTAAGTAGGAAAGTCAGTGACTGAATTCAAAGACAGGCTGACTTCTGTTAGAGACTGAATGCAACTATTTAAGTTGAAGCCAATGCTCATTTATCAATCTGAAAATCCAATGGTCTTTAAGAATTATACTAAATATAGTCTGCTTGTGATTTGTAACTAGAACAACGTTTGCACTATAGTACATCTGTTTACAACATGGTTTAATGAAGATTTTAAGCCATGTTCAGATCTCTGACTCATAAAAAAAAGATTTCTGTAAAAATATTACTGCTCACTGTCAATGCACTTGGTCATCCAAGAATTCTGGTGGTGATGCAAAATTAACGTTGTTTTTATGCTGCCTGCATAACATCTATTCTGCAGTCCATGGAAAAAAGAGTAATTTCAACTTTTAAGTCTTATTGTTTAAGAAACAGTTAATGGTAACAGGTAATGGGGGAAAAATAAGAACTAAGATACATCATGTTCAGGTACAAGCACTCAATGATAAATGTAAATGTATTGTATACCTAAAATGTACCAATAAATATATGAAAAAAAAAAGAAATAGTTAATGAGGCTTCCATAGATGGAGATTCCTGATAGTCCTGGGAAAAGTACATTTAAAACCTTCTGAAAAGGATTAAACAGTTCTATATGTCATTAAGAACATTTGTGATTGCCAGGGATTTAGCTCAGTGGTTTCACCGCCTGCTGCACAAGCAAAAGGACCCGAGTTTGATCCTGCTGCACAAGCACAAGGACCTGAGTTTGATCCCTGGTGCAAAAAACAAAACAAAACAAAAGAACATTTGTGATTCATGAGAGGCGGTCAAAAAACAACATTAAAAGGATTTCACATATGCAAATCAATAAATGTAATACAAGACAAAAACCACATCATCATCTCAATGACAAAGAAAAAGCATTTGACAAAGTTCAACACCTATTCATAATAAAAACCCTACAGATAATGGAATAGAAGGTCTTTATCACAGTCTGATAAAAGCCATTTATGACAAACCAACATTGTACTAAATAGTCAAGAACTGAAAGCTTTCACTCTAAAATGAGGAACAAGACTAGGATGTCCACTATCACCACTCCTGTTCAATATAGTTCTAGGAACACTAGCCAGAGCAATTATACAAGAAAAAGAAATGAAAAGAATAAGGATAGGAAAGAAAGAAGTTAAATTATCATTATTTCAGATGACATGATACTCTACATAAAAGACACCCAAAACACCTAGATTTAATAATCAAATTCAGGAGCATAGTGGGATACAAAGTCAATACTCAAAAATCAATAGAATTTTTGTATATTAATGACAAACTCACTGAAAGGGAAATTAGGGAAACAACATCTTTCACAACAGCATCAAGAATAATGAAAGACTTACCAACCAATTTAATGGAGGAAGTAAAAGACCTTTACATTGAAAACTATAATACTCTGAAAAAGATCGAAGAGGATATCAGAAAATGGAAAGATATCACTTATTCTTGATAGGCAGAACCAATATAGTGAAAATGGTCATACTTCCAAAACTGTTATATAGATGTAATGTAATTCCAATCAAAATATCAAAAGCATACCTCACAGAACTAGAGAAAACAATCCTAAAATTTATTTGCAACCAGAAGAGACCTAGAAGAACAAAAGCAATTCTGGACAACAAACACAAAGGCAGGAGGCATCACAATCCTTGACTTGAAATTATACTACAGAGCTACTATGATAAAAACACCATTTTACTGGCAAAAGAACCCCAAACCAAACCAAACAGAACAAAACACAAAACAGATCTGAGGATCAATGGAACAGATTAGAAGATGCAGAAACAACAAACACACTTAGACACCTTACCTTTGAAAAGGGGCAAAACACCTTCACTGAAGAAAGTACCTCTTTAATAATGGTGCCGAGAAAACTGGCTTTCCACACACTGAAAATTAAACCCAAACCCATATCTCTCACCATGCACAAAATTAAAATGGAAATAGATCAAAGATCTAAATATTAAAACAGAAACACTTAATTGCTGGAAGATAGAATATGTACAACTGTTGAAGACATGGGTATAGGCAAAGACTTTATGAACAAAACTCCAATGGCACAAGAAATATTACAAAGAATCAACAACCAGGATCTCATATCAAAAAGCTTTTTGCAAAGCAAAAGAGTGAAGTGAAATCCACAGAACAGGAAAAAATTTCACCAGCTATTCCTTAGACAAAGGACTAATACATAAAGAATATATAATAGAATATATAAAGAACTCAAAAAAAATCAGACTCCCCAAATTTAAAGACCCAATTCGAAAATGGGCATCTGAAATGAATAGACATTTCTCAGATAAAGAAGTACAAATAGTAAATAAATATATAAAATAATATTCAACATCACTGGTCATTCAAGAAATCCAAATTAAAACAACACTGAGATTCCATCTCACTCCAGAAAGAATGGCTATCAACAAGAAATCAACCAATAACAAATGCTGGTGAGGCTGTGGGGAAAAAGGAACACTTCTCCCCTGTTGGTGGGAGTATAAACTGGTAAACCACTATGGAACTCAGTACAGAGATTCCTCAGAAAACTAAAACTAGAGGCTCCATTTGACCCAGCTGTTCCCCTTCTTGGTATCTTCCCCAAAGAGTTAAAAGCATCATACACAGCACAATTTGTAACAGCTAAATCTTGAAAAGATGTCTATCAACAGATGAATGGGTAAAAAAAGTGTGGTTCTTATATACAAAGGAGTACCACTCTGCCATAAAGAAGGATAAACTTGAGACAGTTTTAGGCAAACGAATACACGTTGAGACCATACTTTTAAGTGAAATAAATTGCACACATATGTTTAAATATCACATTGTTTCTCTTGTGTGAGAAACCAAAAATGCTAATAAGGACCAAAATGGATGATAGATATTGGGAAGTAGGAAGCAAATGTTCAAATGAGAAAGGAAGGAAGGAAAAAGGAAAAAAAGAGAATGGAAAGGAAAAACAATGGAAACAAAGCTTTTGTAAATAAAACCAGGATTTAAGAGGGAGGGCAATGGGAAAAAAAGAAGAATTGAGATATATTATGTACAGGTACAAATTCCTTACGATGAATGTGATCATTATGTATATCAAAAGAGTACCAATAAAATTAATTTTTTTAAAAAGGGAGTTTGGAAGAAGTTGATTCTAACACACATGGATGATTTTGAGGGTTTTAGATTTCCTCAAAGTAATTGCAGATGTGGCAGAAACGGCAAGAGAACTAGAATTACAAGTAAAGCCCGAAGATGTGGATAAATTCTCATAATCTTTTGAAAAAAATACAATCTTATGATAAAACTAACACTCATGGATAATTTTGAGGACTCAAGACTTCACTGAACAAAGTAACTGTAAATGAGGTAGAAATAGCAAAAGCAGTAGAATTAGAAGTGAAGCCTTAGAATGTAAATGAATTGCTGGAATCTTATAAAACTGGATGAGGAGTTGCTCTTATGGGTAAGCAAAAAAACATTAAGTTATGTACTTTGGTGTTTTACTTACAATACTTACAATAGACTACAATAGACTAGTGTAAACCTAACCTTTATATGCACTGAGAAACCAAAAATTTTGTGAGACTCACTTTATTTTAATAGTCTGGAAACAAACCTGTGATACTGCCAAGGTGCACCTGTAGTTTTGAAATTAAGTTAAGTATTCCAACTTTTTGTTTTTTTTCAAAATTTTTTCTTCTCTGTTATTTCAGATAATTACATCAATTTTATAATTGTTTCATTAATTTCTAAACAAAAACTTGTAGAGATTTTGATTTTTGTATTAAAGCTATAATTTGGAAAGAAGTGGTATCCTAATAATACCGTATTTTCCAAACCATAATATGGTACAGCGCCCCCCTTTATTCAGGTTCTCTTTAATTTCTTTCAGCAATGTTTTTATCATTTCCTGTGTACAGGTTTTACAGTTCTTTTGTTAATGTATTCCTCCCTGTGTATATGTGTATTTGAGATTGTATGCCTGAAATAATTTTAGTTTTGGAGTGTCCATTCCTAGGATACAAGTGTACAATTTATTTTTTATCCTATTCTACTGTGACTTTGCTACATTCAAATATGATCTAGTTGCCTGTTTTTGGAAGATTCCAAGGATATTTTACCTATAAAATTATATCATTTAGGAATAAGGAAAATATTTCTCCTCCTTTTCTGGTATGGATACTTTTTTGCCTCTTTTTCTTGCTAGAATGAACAGAATAACGTATATAAATGGAAAGAGGCAACATTCTTGACTTCTTCCATAATCTTGGGTGAGGGGAAAAGAGTATTCAGTCTTTTTATTATTAAGTATATCAATTGTAGGTTCTCTGTTGATGGGCTTTATGAAACTGAGTTTGTTCAACATTTATATTGTGAATGGGTGTCAGATTCTGTCAAATGCATTTTGTATATATTTTAAGATAATTATATGAATTTTGAACTTGAATTTATCCCTCTAGTTCCTTATACTTGACAAAAGGTTGTGCTACAATTATTTTAGCTTCTTAAAGGTCTGGAGTGAGGACTCTTTCTCATTCCAGATTTTGATAATTTTTACCTCATTTTTTTCTTGGTTAATCTAGATTGTTAGAAATCAAGTTTGTTGACTTTTTTAAATGAGGTTAACTTTTGATTTCATTGATTTTTTTCTAAAATTTTTTGAGTAAAGGTCTTGATTTGTAGTTCAGGCTGGGGTTGCACTCACTATTTACTTAGCTCAGGCTCTCCTCAAACTAGTGTTGATCTTCCAGCCTCTCCCTCCTGAGTGCTGAAATTACAGATGCCGCCATATCCTGCATCTTGTCCAGTTATATACTTATCCACATATTATTAAGTATAAAAGTTTACTTAGATCATTTTTGGTTTTGGTGTCATAAAGGGGTTGAAAATCTCTATAATAAAAGTTTTTAATACTTAAAAATGTACTTATGTGTACATATATATATATATAAAAACACCTATAGTTAATATAACTGCTTTATAGCTTGGAATTAAGGTTTGAACTTTAAGATGACTTTCATAAAATGTTATATTATTAAAATTATTTTATAAAAAATTTCTATTTAATATTCAATAACATTAAGTTTGTGCATGTCATATTTAATAAAAAGATTAAAAACATATAGCATGATCTTAATGTTTTAAAATATATCCATACAAAAATCTATATACACACAAGCTGAAATAATATGCTCACATTAAAAGATTATTACCTTTGATTACTATGTGACATTACTATATATTTTGGGTTTTTGTTGTTGTTTTATGGTGCTAGGGATTGAACCTATGTCTTTACGTCTACCTTCTATTTTTAAAAAAATCTTCTAAATTTTCCACTTGAAACATATGTTTGTATGAAAACACAAATACTTTAAAGAGGGAAAAAGGCTATCCACACTACCTATTAAATTAGGTCTAAATTAAATTCTGGAATTAAACTTTTCAACAACTTTAAGATAGGAAAGTTAATTTACATGGCTATTGTTTTAGGATACTTAATATTCTATGGTTTACACAATGTTATACACATAAAAATATAACCATATTGTTTCTCTATGTATGACATAAAAGCTTTTGGACAATATTGTCAGAATAAGTATATACTACATAAGATGGCTATTTTAAGCAGCATATATTTATATATTTAATTATATATTCAATTTATATAATTTATTATATTCAATTTCTTATATATTTATATATTCAATTTCTGGCATATTCATTTAAAAATTAATTGAACTATTACATGGTAGTATCTTATATTCAGGAACTATTCCATAAATTTTTGCTATGTAAAATCAACATTAATTACTACAACATTGTCTTTATTTTTATTTCTATGATCAACTTTGTTCTTTAAGGAGCTTACCTTAGCTGCATGATATGAACTCAGTTTAAATAAATCGTCTCTTTTTGTTTCCTTGGCAAGCAGCTTAAATCTACTTAACATTGCAGCCTTACAAAGTCGACTTGCCATTGACACACCACTTTTAAATGGGGAACTAAAGTAGAAAGGAATGAAACATTCATCAACCATTATTCAATGATTTATATTGGCAACTGTAAGGATTAAAATTAAAGACTAAAATATTTATGCATCTCAATTATGTACAAGTACTGAAACTTGTTATATAAAAATCATTCTAAGCATTAATTACCTTCTGAAGCTAATTTATCCTAGTTTGTTATTATAATATTACATCAAAAATTAAAGACTGATAGTTGGTACATTTCTCTTTTTTAAAGCAAAATTAATCTACAGTGATATCAATTAATGGAAATACTTTCTGGGATGATAACAATGTAATACTTTGATAAGGGTGATGTTACATGGGTATATACATAAATGAACTTCTCATGCAATGGTACAGTATTTTCTCTGCAACCAAATTTTAATACAAAAATAACATACATATCTACTTCACAACTCTCCACATAAATGTACATAGAGATGTACACATAGATTTACATAGATGTACATCTCTATGTATATGTAGATGTGTGTGTATATATATATATATACATTAGATAGGTGTGTAATTTGTGTCGCTAATAAAAGTGAGTCCATAGATCATGAAGTTGTTTTTCTATTTTTGCTACATCTTTTCATTAGTTTTCAGAGATTTAAAAAACTTCCAAATCCTTCATTCTTCCTAGCTTCAAAGCTATTTACAACAGAACATTTCAGATCCACTTGTAAATAGGTATGATTGACTTCTTTTTTTTCAGTATTGGAGATTGAACCTTGTCATTGAGTTACATCTCCAGTCCTTTTAAAAATTTTCTTGAGACAGGGTCTTGCTAAGTCATTAAATTACCCAAGCTAGGCTCAAACTTGTGATCCTTCTACCTCAGCTCCCAGGTGCTGGGATTACAGGTATAGACCACTGGACCTGGCTCCCTTCCCTTGGATTTGTATTTTATTTATTCTTTCATTATGTTTACTTTACTTCCATTATTTATTAATGTAAAATTTAAGGGTGGCTGACTGTCTCATTTGCTTTAACTATATATGACAAAAGTTCTGAGAGGTAATATTTTCAACATCTTTGTTTTCTAAATATTCTATAAAAGTTTACATTTCTCCTTTGAGGTAGAATTCAGAGAACTTTTTTACTCCAATGAAAACAGCTTCTAACACTCTGTTTATAGATTCATCTCATCATAACCAAAGAATATTGCTTACATTGCTCCTACTTTTTGGATTTCCTTTGTGGCCCAACAAATAGTCAACTTTTGTCAATTTCTATTCATTCTTGAAAAGCTAACTGTATTTTATATTTTTATGGTACAGAGTTTAAAATAAATTGATCAAATATATATTTTTTCAAATGATTATATCCTTTCTTGTTTTGTCTACTTGAATTACCATAAACTGAAGGAGTGAATTACTGTCTTGCCAGTAGTTTCTATTTCCCCTCATCATCTTTAATTTCTGCTTTATAAATGTTGATGGTATGTAACTTACTGCGTATGTTTTCATACCTGTTCTGTCTTCTTTGAGTTATACCCTTTATACTACTGAAATATTCTTTTCCTTATTGTAATCCTCTTCAGGATGAATTACATCTTGTCTAATATTTAGATTACATCTCTTGTTTTCTTTTCTGTTTGTACTCTCTTTGCAAATATTTAGTCATAAAAATATTAGTTATTTCACATTTATTAATTTCATCTTTGTTATGCCATTATTTTATGTCTTCAGCAAACAGCTTTTAAATGTCTTTTATAGCAAATATATTTTGTATATGTGTTGTTGAGTCTGATACATGATCCCAAAGCACAAATAGTATAGTCATCCTAGTTGAAATAGTTATTATTATGCTTGACTGGGTTCACTAAGAAGCAGCTGTATGTTGCCTTAATTTAATCCTGTCCTTTCATTGAGAAAACAATTTTAAAGCATTTAACATTATTCATTACCTCATTATAAATGTATGTTCACACTAAAAGAAAGGTTTTAGTTTTTATTTGATAATTAGTCATAGAGTTATTAGAAAAATGTCTAGAAGGAATAGAGCATTGTGTTAGGAACAAGGTCTTTGGATACAAAATGTCCAGATCAGAATCATAGCTATGTCCTTTACTATTTGAGTGACCTTAGGCAATATATCTAATCTACTTTGAGCCTCAGTTTACCTGTAAAAGAAAAAAACCACCCATTGTACAGGTTTATTACATAAGAAGGTAGTATAACATAATATAATACTTACTTTAAGTAGTTCTTACATTACATTAAGTAGTCTTGGGGAATACACGTAAAAAATGCAGATTCCCAAGTCCAAATCCCTAGAGATTCAGTTTCAGTAGAAGAAATTGAATTTTTAGAATAAATTATGTAATTCTAATGTTACTGGTCAAAAAATGACACCTGGAAAAAAACTCGTTCTGGAGCCAGATTCTGTGGGTTTGAACACTGGTTTCACCACTGACTATGTAACATCAGTAATCCATGTAACTTCTCCAGGCCTGTTTTCTCATCAGAAAAAGAAAGTGTGTATGATACCTGCAACATAACTTCCAAATCAATTAAGACTACATATTGTTTAAAATTCAGTAGTATCCAAAAAAGAATAAAAATTGTGATTAAAATGCCTTCTTTTGCTTAACATATAATTTTTAAATAAATCAGTAATTCTTACCTTTCAGTGATTTTCCCATTTAGGCCATCCACAATCTCCAGAGCAAGGTCCCCTTGTGCCCAGTTCATACTCAGAGATTTATATTCCAAATTCATTTGAAATGGGTATACAGAGGGCACTAAGCTAATATGAGGCCTGTTGACTAAGTAAAACATTGGAAGACTTGAAATGAGTACATCATCAACACGTTGCTTTATCGCAATTTCTAAGCCTCTAGTATCACTGCAATTCCCATCACCTAGAAAAAACAAAGTAAACAAACTCACTGATCAAAAGATAATACTAAAAATAGATAGAAATAAAAATTGGAAACATCAAAATCCCATTTCCCTTTATCCTTTATTCAACTTTCTCTTTCCTTCTTGTATTCTCTTAGCTGCTACTTCCACATTCTTCACAAAAACCAGGATGAGGTAATGACAGAATGTTCATTTTAAAAAGATTCCAGAAAATAATGGGTGATTTTAGTAAGTAAAAGCAAAAGGTCAGTGTTGGCCCAGAAAGAAATTGGGACTTTTTACATGGCTCTGCCAGACAGAATTGGCTCATTCTGTCTGATTTTCTGATGACCACATGAAATCTGCACATAAGGCTGCATGTAAATATGACTGGGAAACAGTTGGTGAAAGTGTGTTATTTCCTCACATCTACTGGCCACAAATTCTAAGTGTTGCAGTACCACAGTGTTCTGTTTTCACACACAAAAAAGCAATTCTAAGTATGACCACTACTGGTTAAAATTGTGCCCAACACCAAGAGCTTTGAATTCTCAGTTGCAATTGTTGAAGAAGAGATCTCAAAAAGAGATCACTAATATAAAATAGTGAACTGCATAGAACTTAAAATAGAATCAGGGAGTGCTCTTTTCTATTTAAAAAAAACATTTTTTTTTGAAGCAGATCTTTCTTCCTAAGAAGACCTGAAATTCTTATTCTTGCAAAAGCGTGTGTGGGTACATTTATTTATTTATTCATGCATTAACTCACTCATTCATTCATACATAAATATATACATAAAATCATGTGTTTGTATATATATATTTTACAGATAAAATTTGTTTCTCCATCAATCGAATTGTTGAGATGGTTATCAGAACTTACACTCATTATGGCTGTCTAAACATCAGAATATCATCCTAAAAGTAGATCACTTGCTTCTGACACTTTTTTGTAAGCAGTCTTTTATTCCAAATCAAGAAAAACTGACAAATGCAGGCTGGAAGGCTAGTCAAATTAAAGATATACTTGGATACAGTAAAATAGTTGGAAAAAAAGATCAGAGGAATAGTTACTGTATCTCTAATGAACAGAAGGATGCAAATAATGCAATCATTTTACATTGAAATAATGACACCGGTTAATCTTAAG